AACAGCAGCAGCAAATGGAGGTCATCACGTTTGGTAACCCATTCTATCTCAATCCAAACGAAAATATGGCTCAATCTTTGGTTGCTGAGTTATTGGATGGTACAAACTACACAATGTGGAGTAGATCTATGCAAGTGTTGCTTAAAACGAAGAACAAACTGGGTTTTCTAGATGGGTCAGTTGCAATGCCTTCTAGGGATTCAGATATGTTTGGCATTTGGGATGCTTGTAATACAGTAGTACTATGCTGGATCCAGAACTCCATGACTAAAGAACTGCGAAGGGCAGTGCTGAATCACAGTAATTGCAAGACACTTTGGGAAGAACTAAAAAGGCGTTTTGGACAACCAAATGCCATGAGAATTGCTAACCTGGAGGATGAGATTTTGGCTTGTAAACAGGGAACCAAGTCAATTAATCAATATTACACAGACATAAAGGGATTATGGGATGAGTATGTCGAATTTTGCCCTGTGGTTCCATGTGCTTGTGCTCCAGGTTCGACCATTCCCTGTGCTGCAGTAGTTGCTTTTGTTCAAAAGCAAGAGACAGATTATTTGATTCGCTTTTTGAGAGGAATCAATCCATAATTTGAAGTCATCAAGACCCAGTTGTTGATGCAAAAACCCCTACCTGGTGTTTCTGAAGCGGTTGATGACCTACTCCAGCATGAACAGAAATTGAAGGCAGATGCAGTGACTGGTGGTGGAAAGAAGAACCAGTCATTGGCTCTAGCTGCAGGAAGTCAGCAACAACAGAGGGGTTCTGCAGAAACTAATCAGGGTAAGAAGTATTGCCGTTACTGCAAACGAACAAATCACAATATTGATGAGTGCTGGTGGCTGAAGAAGAAGCAGGGAGAACAACAGAAAGATGGGCATTCAAACTCCAGTTCGAGTTCCAGTTCTAGCACTCCTAGATTTGCTGGTTATGTTGCTCAGGGTACTGGAAATGCAGCTGGTGATCATCATCCTGAAGGTAATACAACTACTGAAGGTATGAACCAAACTTCATTTGCTTTCACTGCAGAGGAAATGGCTCGTCTCAGGAACCTGCTGCAAATTGGTACTAATGCATACCCATCCCCACCTACCTCCCCATCCATCAACCACCAAGCCTTTACAGCCACTCAACATCCTACACCATTCCCTAACTTTTCAGGTAAACATGTCACCTTTTCTTCTCACCTAGGTCAGACCTGTGATTACAACCTGTGGATAATAGACACTGGGGCCTCACATCACATAGCCTGTTACATTACCATGTTTACTGCTTACAAGGAAGTTAAGGATACTTATGTTTACTTACCTAACAAAACCAGAGTCATTGTAACTTGTATAGGCACAGTCAAACTACCTACTGGTCTATCACTTTATGATGTTCTCTTAGTCCCTACCTTTTCCTTCAATCTCATCTCAGTCAGTAAATTAACCCATGACCACCCTATTTCCATACAATTTCAATATGATCACTGTGAACTCCAGGACCTTCTAAGCCAGAGGAAGATTGGGTTGGCAAGAGAATGTAGAGGCCTCTACCAGCTGGTCCTTCCTCAAAGTCCTACCCCTTTATCTTCACCAACCTTTCACCAAGCAGCCTCAACTTTCAACTACCAGCCACAAGACCTCCACCTATGACATTGGCGATTAGGACACCCTAGTCATGATAGATTGTCTTTGCTTTCCAAAATCATTCCTGATGTAACTAAACAGAAACCATTGCACTGTGATGTCTGCCATTTATCCAAACAACACAAATTACCTTTTCCTATTAGTACCAATGTAGCACCTGAGATGTTTCATTTGCTGCATATGGATATTTGGGGACCTTTATCAGTTGTTTCCTATGATGGTTATCAGTATTTCCTTACAATAGTGGATGATTTTTCTCGTTGTGTGTGGATATATCTGATGAGGCACAAGAGTGATGTAAGGGGCTTAATTCAAGGTTTTTGCAACTTGGTTAAGAACCAATTTGGTACCACAGTTAAAACTACTCGCAGTGATTAGGGTAAGGAGTTCCAAATGTGTGATTACTTTTCTCAAGAGGGAATATACCATCAAGTTTCTTGTGTGAAACCCCTGAACATAATGGGAGGGTAGAGAGAAAACACCAACACATTCTTAATGTAGCTAGGGCTCTGAAATTTCAATCTGGTCTTCCTTTACCATATTGGAGTGAATGTGTTTTACATGTTGTCTACTTAATCAATTGCACACCAACTCCAGTTCTACAAAACAAATCACCAGTTGAAGTTCTTTTTCAAAAACCTGCTTCTCTTGCTCACTTAAGAGTGTTTGGCAGTTTGTGCTATGCTTCCACCCTTGTTCATGGGAGAACCAAATTTGCCCCCAGGGCCAAACAGTGTGTGTTCTTGGGGTTTAAGCAGGTGTCAAGGGTTATAAGGTTATGGATATCCATACTAAACAAGTTTTCCTGTCTAGGGATGTTGTTTTCTATGAGAAAATACTCCCATTCCATTGTCCTGATGCTTCTACTCCTTCAGATCCCTCTACTTCTGTTTTTACACCTACACAAGTGGTACCATCACCTGCTCCTGGTTTACATGTACCTACTCATAAGTTTCATCCATCCATGGATGAAAGGGGGGAACCTGAGTCTGAAGGTCACACCATTGACCAGTCTCCTGCAAGTATCCCAACAGGTTCTCACAGTCAGCATGAGCACTATGACTACTTTGATTCAGATGACCAGGAGTTGTTGCAACAAGCTGATGTTGATTGTGACAATCAGGGAGATCAAACAGTAAAGGACAAACCTCGAAGAAAGGTTACACTTCCAAGTAAGTACAAGGACTATGAACTAGACCCAAGCATTTCCTTTGGTCCCTATGGGAAATCAAATTCTTGTAGTAGACATCCTATATGCTTGAATGTGGATAGCTTGAGTCATGATGATAGATCCTTTGCACTGAATATCATGAACCTAGTAGAACCTAGGTCATACTATGAAGCAATCAAGTCTGATGCATGGAATAGGGCTGTGAACTCAGAATTACATGCCTTGGAGGAAAACCAGACATGGGATGTTGTCCCATTACCTCCAAACGTCAAAGAGATAGGGAACAAATGGGTCTTTAAATACAAGTTTAAACCTGATGGATCCCTGGAAAGAGAAAAGGCCAGGCTGGTGGCCAAGGGCTACACTCAGATCTATGGAATAGACTTTCTGGATACATACTCTCCAGTAGCTAAGATTAACACAGTGAAGACCTTCCTAGCCGTAGCAAGTTTGAGGAATTGGACTTTGGAACAAATGGATGTATCTAATGCATTCCTGCATGGAGATCTAGATGAAGTGGTTTACATGAAAATCCCACTTGGACTGAAAGTAAACTCAACAGGAAATCAGAAGATGACTTGCAGGTCGAAAAAGTCATTATATGGCCTGAAACAGGCCTCCAGGCAATGGTTTGCAAAGCTTACCAGTTTTCTGTTGAAATTGGGTTTCTCTCGGTCAGTGTCTGATTACTCACTCTTCACTAAGTGGACACATGGAAGGATTACAGTAATACTTGTGTATGTTGATGATATCTTAGTCGGAGGTGATGCACAGAAAGACATAGATCAAGTGAAGACATCACTGAGCAAAGAGTTCAAGTTGAAGCTTCTAGGACCATTGAAGTATTTCCTTGGCCTAGAAGTTAACAGGGATCAGAAGGGCTTGAAAGTATGTCAAAGAAAGTATTGTGTGGACTTATTGAAGGATACAGGTTATTTGGAAGCAAAGGGGTGTAAAACTCCAATTGATGCAAAAGTGAAATTGAGTTCCAAGGGAACTTTGCTAAAGGATGGTGAAGCATACAGAAGGTTGGTTGGCAGGCTTCATTATCTCACAATCACAAGACCAGATATAGTGTTTGCAGTGCAGCAGCTCTGCCAATACCAAAGGAATCCTTGTGAAGAACATATGAAGGCTGCTTATCGAGTGCTAAGGTATCGGAAGCCTTCACCAGATCAGGGAATACATTTCAGCAATACATCAGAGGAAAGGATAGTTGGCTTCAGTGATTCAGACTGGGCAAGCTGCCCAGATACCAGGCGTTCCATCACAGGGTACTGCACCTTCCTTGGCTCTTCTCTCCTTACCTGGAAAACCAAGAAACAAACAACAGTTTCAAGATCTTCATCTGAAGCTGAATACAGAGCCTTGACACACCTGGTTTGTGAAATTGAGTGGTTAAAGAGGTTACTTTCTGAGTTGACATTGCAGGTACCTCTTCCTATCCTTGTATATTGTGATAACAGGTCTGCTATTCACATAGCAGAAAACCCTGTTTTCCATGAAAAAACCAAGCACATCGAAATAGACATTCATGTTACAAGAGATAGGATTAAAGCTGGGTTGATCAAGTTGCAGCATGTGGGAACAACCGAGCAGTTAGCAGACATATTTACCAAAGGCTTGGATCGATTTAGAGTGAGAGAAATCATGAGCAAGTTGGGGATCACATGTGCACCACCAACTTGAAGGGGGTGACAGAGAAGAGTTCCAGAGTGTAGCAATCCTCACTAGCTGCGGATTGTGAATGATTGAAGACAGCGTCGTTGCAGAAGAAAGAAGAAGAATGATTGCTGAAGAACTAAAGAGAACGGCAGCGTTTTGGTTTTATTGTGTTAGCCGTTAATTCACTGTTTTGTTTAAATTGAGAACCAAAAGTAGCTATAAAAGCTACAGAGAGCTCAGAATACAGCTGAGCTTTCTCTCCAAAATTTCTACCTTCTTTACAAAGTTTACAAAGGTAGCCACACTTAATATGAAGAACCCATCTTTGCCAATGTACTAGAATAATATGAGGATTTATGAACTTAAAACTCTGACGCAGCATGTTCTGATGGCGCCGGAACATGGCTTGGCTTGGCTTGATGATGATCCGAGACTCTCATCAGAGGGACTATTGCATATTGGTCTGGATCCTGTTTGTGATGGAACCAGGAACCTGCTTTCTCAAACGGATAGGTATATACAATGTTGACAGATTATGAACCCAAAAAGAAAACCTAATTAAACCCATCATTATGAACCGAAAAAATCAGTATTCTTTTTTCCATTCGTTACACAGGAAAATGTTTCAACTTTGCACTCGTCCAATGCGATTATTCTAGCGAAAAGGGCACTCCAAGAGGTCTCGCCGCTAAAAAGTACAGAGTATAGAGAGTGAAAACGAAAACAAAAACAAAAACCTCAATTACACCAGCTTCCCAATGAACAATGCTCTAATCAAATACTTGGCTTATACTCCCCCCAGCTCTATATTGCCGAAAAGTACTCTTTGCTCCCTTTTGGGTCAGGCTTCATCGACTTGTCCCCAGGCTTCCACCCAGCTGGGCACACCTCGTCTGGGTTTTCCTGCACATACTGCAACGCCTGCAATATAAAAAGGGAGGGCCAACGTCGGGTTTCCATTAGCACATTTATCGCGAAGATAAGCTTTCCGAGACATTATTAACAAAGCCATCTGATCACCTGAAGCGTTCTTAGTGTCTCGTCAACACTCCGCCCAATAGCGAGATTGTTGATTGTCGAGTGCTGGATGACTCCCTCCTTGTCGATGATGAAAAGTCCTCTCAAAGCAATTCCCTAGCGATGATAATGAAAACACATTATGACAGTATATTTCTTTTTCGGTAATTATTCGACAATATTTTTCAAGCATAGGTATTGCTGATTTAGCAATAGTTTACTTTTAGGCCATGTAAAAAGATAGTAAGAAGTAAGAACTCCCATTTCGGATTGGAAGGGGTAGTTGTACCTGGTCAGGAATAAGGACTCCGAATGATTTGGAGATTGATTTAGTGACATCAGATACCAAAGGATAGTTCAGATCGCCAAGGCCGCCTGATTTTCTATCAGTTTGGACCCAAGCAAGATGCGAGAACTACAATGTGACAACAAATGATTAGAACATGTTAAAGCATTTTCAGAGCTTAAACTAACATGTAAACTTTAAAACTAAAAACTTTTGGTTGTCACTGGATGCAAGCATATGTGACTTATATAGAGTTTTCTGATTCTAAAGGCATGGAGATTGTCAAGACAATATCATAACTTACATGGAATTTCATTCCAAGATGAGGAGAATCATTTCTCTATGTAACTATGGTTGCTTTATGCTGTAAGGATATGCAAGAAAGAACGCATTTGCAAACAAATTGCACGTTTTCACTCATCATAATACTCTAAACACTTCAACTTATCACACTATCAACTGAGACACCCATGTAAATATGATTGGTTTATGCTGTAAGGATATGCAAGAAAGAACGGATTTGCAAACAAATACGAGTATTCACTCATCATAACACTCTTAAAAACTTTTGGAGGTCACTGGATGCAAGCACATGTGACCTTATATAATGTTTTCTGCTTCCAAAGGCATACAGATTGTCAGGACAATATCATAACTTACATGGAAATTCATTACAGGAAGATGATCATTTCTGTATGTAAATATGGTCGGTTTATGCTGCAAGGATTATGCCAGAAAGAGCACATTTGCAAACAAATGCACGTATTCACTCACATAATACTCTTAAAGACTTCAACTTACCACACTATCAACTGAGACACCCAAAATTTCCGTGTTGATCTTCTCAAATTCTGCATGTCGGTCGCTGAAAGCAGTGATCTCTGCAAGCAGGACGGGCAGGAGGTATGAGAAAAAGGTGCCACACAGGAACTAACACCATTAATCCATGTCCAAATTCAGACCACACATTTATTTGAAGCGCATTAAAACAAACCTGTGGGGCAGACAAAGGTGAAGTCCAATGGATAGAAGAAAAGGATAACATACTTCTTCCCAATGTATTCGGAGAGCTTAACCTGCAACGAACTCAACAATAAAAATCGATTCCTCTTCCGGTAATGATAAATGCAGAAAGCAGGAAAGGAACTACATTTTCAGCACAGCATTAGCCCCTTTTTTAACCGAGCTAAACAGCAATAATACCTTGATGAATTCCTGGTCAAAAACAGCTTCGGCCTCAAAGTCAGGAGCTACATTTCCAACCAGAGGAAGCTCACTCTGCAAACAAAACGCACAACATACAAACAGAATAGCTATTACCCAATTGAAAACGTACATCGGAATTCGAAATCGCAATGTGGAAAGGTAAACCGACTAATTTAGCAGATGGGGTTCTTCAACAAGAAGAAATAGAAGAGGTGGGGGGAGGGGAAGAGAATCGTACAGTGGCTTTGACGACAAAGCTCTCCCTGCGGGCGAGGTTAGCGGAGGAGCGAGCATTGGCGAAGGCGGAAGATTGGAAGAGGGGCTTGCGGAGGCCGAAAAAGGAGTTGGGAAGAGGGGCTAGGGTTTTAGATAAGGGAGAAGCCATTGATTTGGTGGCAGGGATGGAGGAGGAGATGAGAGCGGCGGAGGTAGCTGAGCACGCCATGGCTTTTGTGCCGGCGGGAGGCTCCGGCAGGTGCTGGTGATGAGAGTGACTGAGTGGGAAGTGGCGGAGAAAGGAGAGTGAAAAGCAAGAGGTGTGAAATGGAGGGCGGGGGGAGCGGGTGGATGAGGAGATAAAATGCTCAGGGAAGGAAAAGAATGGTCAAGATGGAGAGGCAGTGGCGTTAGGTTGTCGATGGATGGGTTGGGTTTGTTTTTGTCGTTGGTGGATTTAATTTAAGGATTCACATTCATTGGTATATACATAGGGTTGAGAAACGGTGAGCCGGTAAACGGTTTACCGTTTTACCGAACTGATAATTGGCGGTATTGGCGGCCGAGTGTCAAATGGTAAAGTTCGGTTTATCGGCCCCAATATCGGTAAATATCGACGGTAAATCGATAATACCGATACCGACAAGTGTGCAACTTTGAGTTTGCCAAATATTAAGTTAAGGCATTAACATATAACATATACTTCATTATTCACAAATATTACATACATGAACGGAAGTAAGTAAGTATAGCCCTCAAAAATATTATAAATAAGAGTTAATAATAAATTATTAATTACAAAAATGAAGAAAAAAAACAGAAAAATCAAAATATTACAACATCACCCCACTGCCCAGAAATTCGGTTCGGTAATTTTCCGGTAAACCGAACCGAAAAACCGTCCGCAACTACTCTTTACGGTAAGTCGGTAAAACTGGTTTGTAACCGTTTACCGGTAATTCAGTAACCAGTAAACCGGTTACAAACCGATATCGGTAATCGATTCCCCCTTACCCACACTCGACATACCGAAAACCGGCAAAGTCGGTAACCGGTACCGGTTACCAACCGAATACCACCCCTAATACTATATACCATTTTAGAGTTGAGCAATTAGGGATAACTAGGTATCTGTTTTGCTAAAATCCCAAAATACACTGTCGAGAATAAAGGCAGTGATAACTTCCCCGCGTATAATTAAAACGGTGATGCCATTACCGTTTTAATTATACGCGGGGAAGCAATCATCGCCGTAAACAAAAACGGTGATGCCTTCACCGTTTTAAGCGAAAGAGGGGAAGTTACGCGGATCGCTGATGTGGACTACCGCAGGGCATTCACCGTTGTAGACAATTGCGGGGAATACCCTACAGTCCACGTCAGCGATCCGCGTCGTTGAGCCCCTTCATCGCTGTCGTCAGATGCAGTGAGGCGCGGATTCTGGTTTTCCTCCCAGATCTGACACCTCAAAGCCTCTCACGTCAGCAATCCACGTCGTTCACCGCGTTCGAAGAAAGTGGGGAGTTCACCGCGTTTGAAAGACTCAGTGATGGCTTCCCTGCTGCATTTTCTAGCGGTCCCCTTCCCCTATAAATAGAACCCTCCTGCCCTCTTCCAAATCACACCACCACGCTACTCTTCTTTCTCCCTCCATTCGTCCACTCTAGTTTCGTTCTAAATACGATATGTGGTTGCGGCTAAGTCGGATCTTCCACATCAGAAAGCATTACTAGAGTTATACCCTAAAGCCCGACCCTCTACAAACCCGTCGAACCTTTGTCCGGCTTCCGCCAAAAAATGGACGAAAAGGCTCTTCGGTAGGTTCTTGTTTTCCCTTTTGTGATTTTTTTAATCAAACTAATCTGATTTTATTACTTTTTTTATAGATGGGTGCCGAGATATACGATCCTCAATTTTATGTTCATTATGCGCCAAGAGATACGAAGTATTTATCCGAGCAAGAATCACATCGCTCCCTTGCAATTTGATACAACAATCCGGTAAATACTAAATACCTTATAAAAAATTTACTTTATTTCATTATTTTAAAAGGTTTTATTTTGCTTTCCGTTGACTAACAAATCAATGTTTTTTCTAATTTTTTTAGGAATCACTTATTCCCGTCATTCATAGAGGGACCACTAACTTGCCCGCTTGACATGATCGATTGTCGTCGTATATACAGAGGACTGGACTAGGTATGTTGAGGCATTTCATGCGGATTGAAATGACAACGAACTGCTTACGGGAATGGCAGATCGATGGCGCTCCTAAACTCATACGTTCCACCTTCCGGAGGGGGAAATGACAATCACTCTCAAAGACGTTGCGATCCTCACCGGGCTGCCGATAACTGGAGATGCCATCATCGGGAGCTCTACCAAACCCGAAGCAGGTTGGGGGCCACTCATTCTTGAGCGTTTGGGCTTTGACATGCCGACCACCACTCCAGTCCAAGGACAGGGTGCATCCACCATTGAATGCTTGACAAGTATCGATCCCGTGGCTCGTTGCTCACATCCAAAATGAGGTTCAAATTGGCCCAGACACTCCGGAAGATCAAGTGGAGCGTTATGCACGCGTCTACCTCATTAGCTTGGTGGGTGGATTTCTGCTCCCCGACAAGGCAAACAGGTGGATTCAAGGCATATGGGAGCATCTTCCAATGTTCGCTCCTCAGGACACGCGTCCATTCTAGAGACAAGATGAGGAGCTGCTAATCGTGTCAAATCCCCCGTATGGTGTCAAGTAAGTTTATATTTATTCCATGGTTAGCGTTGTTTACTTTAAATTTACTCCATGCTTTGCTTGATTTAAATTTATATTTATTCAATGATTAGTATTATTTACTTTAAATTTATTACATTCTTTGCTTGATTTAAATTTATATTTATTCAATGGTTAGCGTTATTTACTTTAAATTTATACCATGCTTAGCTTGATTTAAATTATATTTGTTTTGTGCTTATCCTAAATTTAAAATTCTTATATCCGTACTTTTACTTACAAGGTGGATAGGAGCAAATACAAATGACCATCATGCTGAGCACTCTTTAATGTTTTATCGTGCTGAGTTTGATAAGCCTTGGTGGAACCAGGTAATCATGACAATTCTATATTTTAACGAATTACAATTTTGTGGACGTAATTGGTCGCTAATTGAAAATTATGAATGAGTATAGGTTATATGGGACCCATATCCACGTGAAGCGGTCAAGCTGCATCATCTGAAACACCCCGAGGATAGCGATATATGGTTGTGCAAGGTGCCCTTGATCTGCTGGCACAGTGTGGAGTGGCACCTACACGATCGATCCTTGAGGCAATATCAATTGGAGAAACCAATTCCACAAACCCCGGCTCAAGGTTTTAGGGAGCTCCATGCCATCGACATCCGACACTGGGCGAAGAATTGGGTCTCAAGCATTAGTTCTACATCAACATTTGGGAGAATAGAGCAAATTGGGTGGTCCAAGGGATGTCGGAGACGACACCTAAGGGGTACAACGGTGGGTACATGCAGTGGTATCGGAAGTTTACGCTTAGATGGGTGTCAAAGCAAGGTACTGTGATGGGTTCGTTGGTAAGTCATCCCAAGTATCCCTCGTAGTCTAATTCTTTTCATTTGAGGTTTAATTATTAATTTGGTCTTATTACATAAATTGCTTAGGTTGATGGTTTGAAACACGCCAAGCACATGGTCGAGAGTGCACTCACCATGGATGAGCGGAAGACTTCTTGGTTGCGAAGGATTATGAACAACCTCCTAAGTCGTACCTGAGAGCAAAGGAGGGATGTCATAGCATATCCTCCACTTCCTGCCCCAGCCCGCCCATCATTCTGTGATGGTGAGCGCATTGTGCCTCCAGTTGAGCCCCCACGAAAGAGCAAAAGCAAGCCTCTGCCACAATTTCAAGTGCTTTGTACGACTCAAGAAACAAAACTCCCTGGACCATTTGAATATGAGTGGGAAACTGCACCGGAGGTCGCTGAAGGTTCATCGAGCTACGCTCCATCTCAGCAACATGACATGTTCCCCCAAGGTTCCCTCAGTTTCACCATCAGCAGCAGACTCCAATGTATCATACCCCGCAGCAACAGACCCATCATGCACCGAGCTACTACCACTCTGCTGGTCCATCTCAACCACCTCCACTTCCACCACCTATGCAGACTCCGGTCGGGGGTCGGGTTAAGAAAAATTCGCGAGCAATTGTCCAACGAGCTCGTGAAGAAGGAGGAGGGAGAGGTGGCGGAAGAAGGGGTTGAGGACGTCGTGGAGGACGAGGAGGAGGGAGAGGCGGGGAACCAAATGAAGCCAACCAGTGAACTTGTCATGCTATCTATGTTTATTTTAGTTTTGTGTCATTCCATGAACTATCCATGTTGTCTTTCTTTAGTCAGTTCTTGTGTTTTGGTCTTGCATGATCTATGACCTGTCCATGTTGTCCTTCTTGTAGTCAAGTCTTGTGTTTTGGCTTCGAGTTATCAATGATCTATGTTAAGTCTTCCTTCCATATTGTCTCAAGATAGATCAAAATTCCAACATCATTACAATCACTAAACAAGCTTACAACTTAAACATCATTACAACTAAATGACAATTAAGATAGATCACAATTCAAGGTTGGTCCTGATTAATTTCGCATCTTGCTAGAGAGGTTGTCTTGGGCAACGCCTTTTGTCATGCCCAGGTTGTCTACATTTGGAGCATCACTTCGACCCTCGTCTTGGGCGTTGCGATTGATCCATCTCATTATGAATCCTTTCGGTCCTAGGACGACCCTTGGTGCGCTTTAGGTGCAACGGTGGGTTAATCAACTTCCCATTGTGTAAAGGCCAATAAGCTTCATCTAGCATGGGACTGAAACTGACCGAGTAAGAGTTCCTGATCACCTGTTCGGTGAAGTAAGGACTCACCAGACTGTGGGGGCTCATGGTTATTGACTTAGCTACTGCCATTACATGTGAACATGGTATTCTTGTGTTTTGATACTTTTGGCATGTACACTCCCCGGTGCGGCTTTCCAAGTGTAGAGTAACGGATTGACGATTGTGGCCACTTCTCCCCCCTTCCCATATACCCGTTTCGAAAGCAAAAGTACCTTCACTGCGGTTGAAAATGACAACTCTACGCTTACTTGATTTTTCTTCGTTCTCCTGCATTTGATCAAAGACGTGATGTGCTACCTCATGACCAGCTAGCTCCCTACCTATAGCTAGCTTAAGATGATTCACAAACCACTCGTTGACCTTCCAGTATGACATCTCCACTATGACAGAAACATGCATCGCTCTAAGGCCCTTGTACACTCCATTTATACTTTCCCCATGGTTGGTAGTTGCAATGCCGAATCTGGCCCCATTGTCCATATGGAATGTCCACATGAGCAGCTCTTGACCTTCAACCCATACTGCCCCCGCTCGGTGTATCTAACGAATCGTCTT